ATTTTTAGGCTTCAAACAATAGAGACAAAAACAAAAGTTTTTCATCAAGGTTAGATGACCTTCAAGTTGTACTCTTGCAAAAAAATCAAAGATTAGATTACTGAGACTGAACTGGAAGTGAAATGCTTCAGTACTTAATGATGGTCATAAAATGTTCCATTATCTGAGAAATACATTTAAAATGGTAAATATGTATGATACAGATTATTTCATAGATTTATTCTCTCTAGTGTAAATGGAACAAACCACAGATTTTGGAATGGAAGAAAATAACCAACGATAGATTTGCTACATCAGTCATTCTGTAAAATGAAACAATCTGGGAGAAGTAATCAAAACGTTATGAAAATACGAAAATATGTTTCAATTTGCAGCATGAATCACTTGTAGTACTAATTCAGCGAAGAGGATTATTTATGATGGTCTGAATTCCTTTTTTAAGGCAGAAAATTTTGATGGAATGATAATGGAGTGTATTTAGGGGATGAAGTTCTTGCACCTGTACTTTTAATTGTCTCAGGACTATTAAGATGTGATTCAGCAAAGCCTTGCAAGGCAATCAGCAACACATTACACATCTGGCCAACTGGGACACACTAGACTCATAAGTATAAGGTTAGTAACTACAACTATTGGCGGTGTGTGGTTTCTCGTGTTCTCTTTTAGTTCAGAATGACTTGCTAAAAAATATTTGAATAACTGAAATAGTTTCCATGAATGGCGGCAGGTTTGTGCCATTGAGTTTTATTTTGCACATGGTAGATTTGAAAATTTTGCATACTACCCAACATGCAGCCTTGGATGTGAATGGTTTTGCCTTTGGGCAGCAAAATCATCATATAAATTTAGATATTGAATTTGTTGCAACTGATGCAACATGTTGGGTTGATTATTTGTATGCTTGTGTGGCTGAGCATCATGTTTTGTAATGCTGCTGTGAAGCATCTTGGGATCCATTATTGCACTAAAAGCACTACGAAAATAAGCTGTTCTATCAGGGCACTGTCTCAGCAACCTTGGAGTCACGTTTGCAGTGGTTTGGGTCAAGTGGAGTCAGGTGGGGTCAAGGATTGCTTGGATCACTGGAAAAGATAGGTACACAAAGCTGATGACTCATCAACTAGCCATCACCTTACCAAATGGTGGAGCGGCTGAAAGGGTTGAATGTACTACTCCTGCTCCTAAATCCTCTTGGTTGTTGGTACATAGTACCGGTGTAGCACCGTGCCAAACAATACAATTGCAAAATAATTTACTGGAATAATAGTTAAAAATTCATCTATGGAAGCTTAAAATGCCCACTTTAGGGACATCACCTGTTTTCAAATAGTCAAATTTGAGGTAATGTATAAGTGGCAGGGAAATTTAGAACCAAGAAGCTTAATGTTAAAGTTAGGGGCAGCCCATTTGTGAGTGAAAAATCAGTTTTTTTTTTCATATTAAGAGCAATGGAAATTTAAAACTCTGTTGCCCAAAAGGTTGGATATGCTGGAACAATTGAAATTTTCAAGAGTGTTATTAATGGTGTTTTTTGTTTTGTTTGTTTGGTGAGAATAGCAAGGGAAATTCACCAAATGTTGGTAAGTGGAAATGTAGCACGGACCATCTATGATCTAATTGCAAGGTTTAATGGTCTATACCAAAAGATTCCTTTTAGATATGTTAATTTTATTGTTTAAAAGGCCTATGTTAATATAGTAATCAAAGCATAACCAACAGACTGCCATCTGTTTTTCTCTTTTTCTGTTCTTGAGTGAGCCAAAGGCAGCATTAATCCCATATAAAAAAGGGCTGAATTTTCACAAAAATTGGATGTCTATCGGCTTCTTTCATGTAATTTTTTGCTGTTCAGCTCGTTGATTATGTACCATTGCACCGCTCTCATGCTGTCTTGAGTTCACACTGACAAAACATTTATCAGTGTTGGGACCTTCCAAATTTCATGCTGTAGGTGCCATAATTAAACCTCAGCTGCACACTGTCATATGCTACCAACCTGGTTTGAAGTAGTTACACAGTTCACTTTGGTGTCCACGTTGTGGTGGGTCTGTGCCCAACAAGCTCCGTTGTCACCATCTTCTCTCTGCTACCTTGCACTCAGTCAAACTCTGCCATTGCACCCACCTCCCACTTAAGCTAATGGTCTATCGCTCTCCTTATTGCATGCAGCATCTTCCCTTGTTGGCTGTCACCCATCCAACCCTGAAAACTACTGACCCTTCCTGCCAAATGCTTCCTATTCACTCACTCTGGACATTTCATCCTCTGTCCCGACTGGTGACAGTCCAGTTCCTTTACTGTTCATTGCTGCCAAACGTGACAAGTTGTCTGGCTGGCTGACTGCATTAAAAGGGAAGGCAAGACAAGACAAGACAGATGTAGTGAGCATCCAAGAATCTGAAGTGAGTGAGCACTAAGAAAGCAAGCAAAGAGCCCTGAATTGGATCTTGTTCAGATACGTAAGATGGGTGCCTGTTCCAGTGTGTAAGGTGGCCTGGCAGCAGCATTGCTATATAAGATAGCAGTGAACTCCAAAGTGCAGTGTTGAATTATTAAATTGCATTAGAAGTGAATCTGAGATGTGCCAATATGATTTAGTGAGGCTGGTGTTTTGCTGATGCCAATCTCTGTGGAGGAGGGTACAGGCACTCACCCATGGACCATACCCTGAGATGTTGGGGAACGTTGGCCAAGATAGAGGCCTGATGAACTGCAGCCACCAGGTACCCGTTCAGATTTTCATCTCGGGAATTGTTGCCATCTAGGTTCGCTGCCCTGACTGGGAAAATTTCAAATGCCTATAATTGAGATGCTATTAGGTAATAGAGATTTTAATGTATGCAAATAAATTACTCACCACTCACTGGCAAGATTCTAATCTAGCCATTAAAACTTTGGGTGGCAAATTGGACACTTTCTTTCTTGACAACAATAATTTTGTTTTTCTGTTCTCGCCATTTTTCCTCAACTGACTTGCCATTGCCTACATTGATCGTGGCCTGGGAAAAGTCAACCACATCTGACTAAAATAGGGAATAAACTTGTTTCCCACTGCTCAATTTTGCTAAACTTGTTGCTTTATATTATCCTTTTCTCCCTCCCTGTGTCTTTGCAAAACTGTTGGAAATTTGGAAGGTATTTCCACTTTTGGAATCCTCAAAGGTTTAGTCTATCTGGAGATTATTTTGAAAATTGTTCAATGACTACTTAATAGTTTCACAGAGTTTGGCTAAAACTGGTTGTCCCAAACTTAAGAGCCCAAAGTTATTTATTTTCTTACAGGATTTCAGAGGAAGAAATGTTTAATGAAGGGGTTGATCTTTAGTTTGAGGTTTGTACGTACAAAGCTGAGACTTCATGTCATAAGTACCATTGATCTCTTCACACACAAGATGAAAATTCCCATTTTAATTCGAAGAGTTTCTAAGATAGTTGCTATTTTTAAAATGCATTCGGAATAGCAGAGGCCTAAATTGCGATTGTTCCCCATTGGGCAGAAAACCAGAGCAAATACAATAACTGCTAATGTATGTTGTGGTTAAACACATAACTCATTACAAGAACAACAGGCTATCTTACATCTGCTTGCTCTCTTTACAAAGTTCACTAAGAAGTCTAAAGAAAACGATTGACTGACATACTATTCTGAGATATTGTCCCTATTGTGAAACTTATTTCCTTCAATCCTGTATTTGTTGTAAAAGGTATTCAAACCTGAAGATTTCCATTATTTAGTTGGTGTTACTTCATTAATCTCATTATCTTGATTACTCTCAAAACTTGGTGATTAGACCATAAGGCATGGGAGCAGAAGTAGTTAATTCAACCCATGGGGTCTGCTCCAACCTTTCATGAGATTGTGGCTGATCTGATAATCCTCAACTTTGCTTTTCTTGCCTTTTCCCCTTAACCCATGATTTCCTTGCTGTCTAAAGATTTACCTCAGTCTTGAATATACTTAACAACCCAATCTCTGCAACTCTGTGATAAAGAATTCCTCAGATTCATTACACAAATATCCTGCACTCTGAGCCTCAACCTAAATATTTCAAAATTAGAATCCAAACTTCTCACATTGGAACTCATATGAACGTTAGAAATATACATTTTTTAAATTAGTATAATTGCTTCCTAAGGGTAGAAGGACAACTTCAAGGGACAGCTAGAAATTTACCTTTCAAACTTCCTCAACAAGTTTGATGTTTGAATATGTTCAGTACTAGCCATGTAATTTTTAAAGAAAATAAAAATGCAATTGATTTCCCAGACTTTTAGTAAAATATAACCAACAATTTTGCACAGATCCTTGCAGACTTTAAAATATATCTATGCAAGCATATTTAGATTCCAAACCATTATTAAATCAATTGAATGTTGCAGGTTATAACTAATTTATGCAGATACAAGATTTGATGTAATTTGAATCAAAATAGTGAAAAATATACATATGGGAAGGGCTGAAAATAGTTCATGGTAGTGAACAGCTAGTGACTGATGGAGAAAAGTAAAGGAAGAGTTAGTTTATTGTTAGTCTCAACAATGTGAAATATTAATTCTGTTTCTCTCCACAGTGCTGTCTGAACTGCTAGTATTTCCAACATTTTTATGTTTTGAATTACTACTGATACTGGTTTTTTGTGAGTGCTCATTAGGGGCCAATCCAAGTTCGAATACTTGCTATATCATCTTGCTTCAGACAAAGAAAAGGCAAAGCAAAAGAATTACTGCTTCTCTTAGACATAAAAACTCCTAAACAAGTTTCTCGTACCCAGAAGATTCCAATACTGTGTTGCACCTGGTCTAAAATCATTGGATCTGCCAGTGGTTGGCTGTGCATCTCTTGGCTAAAGTATACTCGGGAACCTGAATGCAATCTGGTCACTGAGTACAAACCCAAACAATGCTTTGCTTTGAGACTGAAGCAATAAAACAGGCCTTGCAACATCAGACATCACTATTTAAAATTTTCATGAAGATTTGTTCTGTTCTTCCTGCTTAAGGATCTTCCCAATCGAGCAAAGCTGGCTGTTCAGCACCTGGTGCAAAAAGTTGGATTCTTCGGAATTTTGGCCTGTGCTTCGGTAAGTAAAAGGCAGAAGTTAATAGGCTCAGAGATTATGTTGCGTAGTGGCAGGAAAAATAAGCAGTGACTCCAGTGAATTTAGAGAATAATATTCATATGGAGTCTTATCCTGTCCTGGGGTTTTCAGAATGCTACACATTAGTTTGACACAATCAGTCCTTGTACACAAACAAGATTTAAATGAGTGATCAGTTGATCTATTTTTGCTGTTGGAGAAAGAATGATGACGAGAGAGAACATCTGTTTTTAAAATATTTGACATGGGATAGGCAGAGAGGGCCATAACATTTAAGTCTGGAAGTTGACACTTTCAATCATGTACAATTCTTCCAGTTCTTCACTGAAGTATTGGTTTAGATTTATGGTGGAGTGTTAAATGAAACTGGGCCGTAAAGTGATAGAATGGCTTGAGTTTGATTTCCGCATGCTGAATTTTCCTATCTTTGATATTTGCAGTGAACAATACATAAGAAAATGAAACACATTATCATGGAGACTTGGAAAGCTAAGGTCCTGTCCTTTCCTCTATTGTTGTGTGGCACAGATCATTTAGGCAGTGAGATAAATGTGGGCTATAAAGAGTAAACCATGGCACTTGGTTTCTTTAATCATGGATTTTGCAATTCCAGAGGGTATATCGATGTTGTGGTGGGGCTTAAGAAGGTTTTCAAAAAATTTAGTTTTCAAAAGTAAATTAAAGGAAGAGTGCTGTTTCGTGAATGCTTGTTTTGTTCCAAACGTACACATGAATAAAAAGTGATTGCTAAAAATGTCTTTATTGTTGTAAACACTAGAGTTGAAAAATCTGAGAGGATTCTTCAAAACTGTCAAATTTTCAATCTTAGTTTAATTGAACCAATTTTCTGCTTCACCAACAACCATGGTAAGAAAACTGATTAAGAAAAGGAAATTTATGCTGTTTTTACTCCTGCATCTGCTACTCCACCACAGTGATTTGTGCCACAGAGCAAAAGGGGACGGGACTGAAACAAAGATTGAGTTTTCTTTGATAGTGTATATGTTACTTTCTCCAAATCTGCCCCGAGGAGATGACAAAAAGAGAAAACTAACTACGTGGGAGATTAAAACACTGAAGCCTGTTCTATCACTTTATGGTGTAGTCTCATGCCCATACCATCTCATCTAAGACTGGGAGAATGCTACATTGTTGAAAATGCCACCATCTAGATTGAGGTATAATAGGCCCTGACCACGTATTCCCAAGACCAGACTTTTAAGAGCAGAAAAGTTTCCCTGGCCATAAAAAGATAGAAAATAGGAGCAGGAGAGTATGATCATGGCTGATCCATAATTATATATTAATGACATGCATGAAAGAAGTGAATGTACTATCACCACATTTATGGATAATACACAAATAGGTCGGAAGGCAAGTAGTGAGGATTATACAGTGTGCAGAAGGATATAGTCAGGTTATGTGAGTTGGCAAAATGGGGCAAATGGAATATAATGTGAGATTATGTATTTTGGCATGAAGTTGGAAAAGCTAGATATTTAAAGGGGAAGGATTGCAGATAGCTACATAAGAGAAATTTGGGGTCCTTGAGCATGAATCTAGCAAAATGCTGGAATCCAAGTTCCGCAGGTTATAGGGTTGGCAAATGGGCTGTTGACCTTTATGACGTAAAGAGAATGGGCTATAAAAATAGGAACTCTTTCTAAACTATATTAGGCACTAGTCAGACAGCACCTGGAATACTGTGAATAGTTTTGGTCCCCTTATCGAAAGAAATATATACTGATATCTACTGGCAATGGAGACAGTCCAGAGAAGGTTCATTAGGTTGATCCTGGATTTGGGGGGTTTTTCATGAGGGGAGTTTGGGCTTGGACTCATTGGAGAAGGAGTAGGGGGCATAATCTCCGAGTAAGGGGTCACCCATTTAAGACGGATGAGGAGGATTATATTTCTCTGAGGGTAGTGAACCCATGGAATTCTTTACAGTGGAAGGCTGCAGAGGCTGGGGTGTTAAGTATATTCAAGGCTGAGATAGGAAGATTTTTAATTAGTCAAGGAATAAAGCAAGAAATTAGAGTCAAGGATTACCAGATCAGCCATGATCTCATTGAATGGTGAAATAGGCTTAATGGGCTGAATGGTCTAGTTCTGGTCTTGTGTCTATGGTCCTATGATCCTCTATCCACAAACTCCCAATCTGTGTCTACAAATCTACCACTTGTTTCTTAAACATATTCAATAACTTGGGCTGCACAGCCTTGTGGTGGAGAATTCCACCAGTGAAGAAATTTCTCCTGCCCTCTGTCCTAAATGATCTATCTCAAATCCTGGCACCATGACTCCTTGTACTAGGCTCCTCAGACATAGGAAGGATCATCTCTACATCCTGTCTGTTCAGCCCTGTCATAATTTTGGGTTTCCATGAGATGCCCTCTCATTCTTCTCAGCCTCTGTGAATCCATCATGCCTCCGTTCACATGCCTCCTTTTGTCAGAAATTGATCAACTGATGAAAGTTTTACCATCTGATTGGAGGAAGATGACTTGAATATACTTCTGCAACCATGTTTTCACTCTGCTATCAACAGCAAAATAAACTGAGCAACTGCACAAATAGATGACTGACATTTAAGCTAAAATTTCTAGTGTACAAAATGGATGTTGACCTTGTATCAACAGCTTTATTTTAGTCGATATACTGGATGGTGTAAAAGATATTTTTGCATATTTTACAGTAATGTCATTGAATTTAAAATCGGTACAGATTAGTTCATTTTTTTCCCCCTGTTTGTTAACATTTTTGATAAATATCCTGGGTGTGTTGTAGATTCCCAATCCCCTCTTTGACCTGGCTGGAATAACGTGTGGACACTTCCTTGTGCCGTTCTGGACCTTCTTTGGAGCAACTCTTATCGGAAAAGCTATCGTAAAAATGCATATCCAGGCAAGTGAAAGCAACCTGTGTAACTCATCAAATAGCATATTTGGAATTTAACTCATTTGGAGACAACTGGACTGTATACTTTTCCTTAAGATGAGATGTTCATACCTGAGCAGAGGGTTGGTGTGTAAACAGCATCCTTAACATGGGTGGAAATTTCAGTTTTGGCTAATTCAGCTATTAAACAATGTATTGAAAGCAAACTAAAGAATGATGTTCAAGAACAATAGACTGTGTCTGAAAAACTTAGAACAAAATACTGGAGATGATCTTGTTAGAACGACTGTTTATGATATTTACAACATTGTTACCTCCATGTGAATGGTCTATTGATTTACCTCTGGCAAACATTTCCCTTTTCAACTCCAAGTCTCTCTCTCTATGTTGGTTGATAATTAGAAAGGAAAGTCTGTGACAGTCACTAAAAGACTGGCCAAAAGAAAGCTCTGTTGCAGAGACAACGTGCTAATGGAGACTGTTGTTAATCTGCTACTTTAGATAGTTCCCTACATGGGATTCCTCCTGAATTTAAAACTATTTATGTTGCAAACTTAGCTGATGAAATTGTATGGCTAGATAATTGTAAGGTTATCAGTTCCTATAAAACTGGAAGACCTTAAAAAGACAGCGTCACACTTTAGAGGTTTGCGTCCTGAAATATTGATGATGCAGAAAATTTGAACCTCTTGTATTGTGTATGTGATTGTATTTGCTGTACTTTGTGACAGGTGTCTCCAAATCCACAGCAATGAGATTGGCTGTTAATTGTCCACTGGGCAATTCAGTATGGTCAATATAAGCCAGTCTAGCCATGAATTAGCAGTTTTATGTAGCTTTTTTTTAAAATTACAAGTCTTCTGCTGTTCCAAAGTGGGTTAAATGTTGACAATATTCTTTTGGAATAATAGGTGAAGCAGTAGGAAATATTCTGTAATAAATACATGCCTGGGTTTCCAGCAGTTGATGGGTTAAAGTAACTTGTTATATTGTGTAATCGTTCAGCCTCAGCCATTTTTGAAATATGCAAACATGTTGAGGCTCACTGAATCCTAGCAACTTTCTCACTAATCTCTCTCAATATTACAGAGTACTCCCACACAATAAATCTTGCTCAATTCATTGCACACTTTTGTTTTCAGTTTAGTAAGGAAGGTATAAATACTGATTATATGATCTATCCCGTGAAATAACTCTTAACAGGAAGGGCCCAGTCTCAATCCCCAGTCTAACAAGTTGGCTGATATTACTTTGGGCAAATGTTGAGTTGCCATAATGCATCTCAAACTTGCTAAGCAGGTTCAGTGATCTCGCCTGTAATATGCACGTGTGTGAATGTTGAAGCAGGACAGTACTGAGAAAATCTACACTTGCAGCCCCACTCAACAATATTCTACTTATTTAAGCTTACACATTAACAGAGACATTAAGAGGCTTCTAAAAGCAATGAAATGGCACCTAGCCTGATGACCCTAGGTTTCAGGAAAGTTGAAAACAAGAGGTGGGGCAGTGAAATAAGTTGTGTCTCTGGTGAGACTGTTTGGTTTCCCCACATAGCAAATTCTAGACTGCAGCTAGGGTAAAAGGCAAGAATAAGATGTTGAACTTGAGAATGAGAGATTTTTGGGGCTGGACAGGGAAAATTAAACTGATTGGAAGTGGCATAAATTATACCTGATCTGCCAGACTCCATGATGGTTGGTAGCGTTGAACTCATATTGCCTTTCCTTTATTGGGTACTCTGGTGGATCTTATTTTTTGGGGAAGGAAGGAATGATTGTGAATTTAAGGACCATTGAGTCCGCGGAGTATGGTGAATTAGCTACATTTGTTGTTTTGTAACTCTGCCTTTTAGTTTTGTTCAGTACCCTGTACTCTTGAGGGTTAAAGATGATGTGTCACACAGACCTTTATCTGAGAAGAGCTGGCAGATGGGTTCTGTACTAAAGTAGGTCAAAGGTGACTATTTTATATCACCCTGGTGATAACACATTACTCACTGCTGCGTTATCTGTTCCTGAGAAACTGGGTTTGTCAGATGTTTGATCCAAAAAAATGAAATTAGTCTTGGCCCTTGACTTCCAATTATAACTGATTAGTTATAAGTCATTACACACTGAAGAATAAAACCACACCCTGGAGGAAATTGTTGCTAGTAACCTAGTCTAAAGTGAACTAATGATTTTACCAAAAGCATAAAAATACCAGATCAAGTCATATAATTATTGTAATTGCAAATATTAAGTGGTTTTCAGGAAATGTGCATTAGAAAAATTAATTGTAATGACATGCTTGGAGTTTAATTCAATGTTTATTTAGTATAAGTGGCGCATTTTGATTGTATGGCCAACCCTGAATGTTTGACTTTAGCGTCCAGTATTTGGGAAAGAACTTGGCTCAAGAGGTGCATGGTTCAGAATTTTTGAGATGACAGGCAATTCCAACCTCGCCACCTGAGTCGCCTGGGAACACAGCAATGTAGCAGCCATTTAATGCCCTGAGGAATGTTAATTTTGATCTGAAGTCCCACTTTTGAGTTGCTGACCAATCTGAATGGCTGACAGCAAAACCAGTGGCAAGCAGTGGCTGGAATCTAGGACCACATGAGTGTGGGGATTGCGATGGAGACACAATGTGAGGATTGAGGAGGGTGATGTAAGGATGAGGCTGACCAAAGGGTTTTGCACCCAAGAGGGTGGAGGACTTTGGGAGGCAGGAACATGCACTCAACTCTTCTACATCCTCCACTACTAACACCACCACCACCAAAACTGTGGAACCATAACATTTTACCAAGTCTCCAAAATGGTTGCCTGGCTCATTTTAATTTACCTCAATTCTATTTTCTTTTTCCCTAATCATTTAACTTGCCGAGATGGGTATATCATGAGCAGTTATTTACAAGGTAGGATATAAACTGTTCAGTGAGGTCAAAATTGAAATAAAAAAACTGATCTGTAAGATTATTGGGTGATGAGGGTGTAGTGAAGCAGTTGTGAAATCCCAGGGGCAATCATAAATCGATACAGATCATGTTTTAGGATTAGGGAGAAGGGGGTGGTTCCATTTTTAAAAACATGCTTGAATAACATGCTTTAATTAAAACATAAGTCACAGTTTGTATAAATTTGAAAATCCTTTTTGTTTTTACTAATAACAGTAACTGTAGGCTGAATAATTAAGGATCACCTGACACTAATTTATTCAATCTGTAAACTTGCTTTTAGTTGTTTGATAGATTTTATTTCCTAAGCTTTCTTTCATTCTAACTCAACATTCAACTGAGTAAATAGCTTGAGCAGCTGGATATTGGAGCTTTTGATGTGTCAGAGTCCATCTTGAACCCATGACTTGAGTCTGTCCCTGAACTTCTGTGGTGCTGTTTGTAAATTGCTGCTTTGGGTTTGTTAAGTAGCAACCTGGAATGGCTTTCCTTGATTTGGGCTCCTCTTCCTTTCTGTGCTAAGTCCCTAATTTTCTCTTTCTAGCCACCTACTCCTACTCCAGACTGACCTTTTTGCAGTCAGCACTCTTTTGGTAGAATAACTCAGACACTACAGTTGAACTCATAAGAACACTCATTGTGAATAACACTTATTCATAAGACCATGGTATTTGAGTATGGGAAAAAATAAAATTACCATTATAAAATATTTTCATGTGTTGCTCTGACATTAAGCTTGTTTAATGTTTTGTGCTGTGGACTTGTCTTCGTGATCTGAATACCTTAGTTGATATGGCATCCTGAGAACTAACATTTCAGACTTGGACATGTACTTTCTTAGCTGTTTTTCTACATAATGTCACATTGTGCAGGGAGGGTGATGGTATATTCAGAATGTAAGTCCTTTGTTACTGATTTGCTCACCAGCATAAATATGCATTCACTGTTTACCTCCGTTTTGATTTTGAGTTATGATTTTGAAATCGATTGCCTCCTCCTTGGCCCTACTGTGCTCAGGTGTAGCAAAGGACTGGTTGAACTTTACTGTGTTTGTTCACATGAGCTTAAATTCAAACCTAATCCCTTCAGAAGACCCTTTCTGAAGAAGGGTCCAGACCCAAAATGTCAGCTTTCCTGCTCCTCTGATGCTGCTTGGCCTGCTGTGTTCATCCAGCTCCACACCTTGTTATGTCAGATTCTCCAGCATTGGCAGTTCCCACCATCTCCAAGCTTTAAAGAAGTGTTCTAATCCATTATGCCGAGTTGATGTCCAGTTTGGGTTCCACCAGGGCCCCTCAGCTCCTGACCTCATTACAGCCTTGGTTCAAACATGGACGTAAAAATGAAACTGGACGGATCACCTGGCATCAACCTAGGGACCGGAAAAGACAACAGCAGAAACAGCCCTGTCGACCCTGCAAAGGCCTCCTCGCTAACATCTGGGGGTTAGTGGCAAAACTGGGAGTGCTGTCTCACAGCCTAGTTAAGCAACAGCCTGACATAGTCATACTCTCAGAATTATACCTTACAGACAATGTCCCAGACACCACCATCACCATCCATGGATATGTCCTGTCCCACCGGCAGGACAGACCCGGCAGAGTTGGCGGCACAGTGGTATACAGCCGGGAGGGTGTTGCCCTGGGAGTCCTCAACATGGACTCCGGACCCCATGAAGCTTCATGGCTTCAGGTTAAAAATGGGCAAGGAAACCTCCTGCTGATTACCACATACCGTCCTCCTTCAGCTGATGAATCAGTAGTCCTCCATGTTGAACAACACTTAGAGGAAGCACTGAGGATGGCAAGGGCACAAAATATACTCTGGGTGGGGGATTTCAATGTCTACCACCATGAGTGACTCGGCAGCAGCTGATCAAGCTGGTCGGGTCCTAAAGGACAGAGCTGCTAGACTGGGTCTGTGGCAGGTGGTGAGGGAAAAACATACTTGACCTCCTCCTTACTAATCAGTCAGCTGCAGTTGCATCTGTCCATGACAGTATCGGTAAGAGTGACCACCACACAGTCCTTGTGGAGATAAAGTCCCGCCTTCACATTGAGAA